CTGAGTTTTAACTTTTTTCTAATTTTTTCTAACGTTTGCATTTTTTAACCAGGACACACCAAGAAATTTAGTCATCCATCTAAATTCACACTTCCCTGAATTTTGCAACTCAGTTCTGTCAGACAGACAGACAGACAGACATAGAATGAAAAACTTGCAGAACAGCCCCCCGTGTCAATTTGATATAAAAATGCATTATATTGGGGAAAACTTCATAAAAATGGTGCATTAGACAAAATTGCAAACAAAGCTAAACCTTCAGGGAAATGCAAACCAAAACACACAGACGGTTCAATGCAAAATTTCTTTCTTTTAAAATCCCGCAGTGTAACCAACGGATGCCGGCAGATTTGCACAAATGAGAAACTCAGAGAAATGAAATTGAGAGATCTACCAACCTCTCTTGTGGGGACGGGGATAACAGCCTCTTCTGATGACCTTCTGTCTGCCATCAGAGCGGCGGAAATGAATCGTCCAATCACGGAACGCCAAGTCATGGCAGAATGACCCGCTGTTTTTGAGGAGGGCCCCTGTTGCACCTCTGTGTGAAGTGATGCACTAAACTGCTTTTTCACTGCACGAGTGCAGTGTTGAGTGTGCATAACAGTGAAGGAAAGGGGTGGAGAAGGACAGAAGGAGACCCATGGTGTTAAAAGTCTTGCACAGTTTGGGATATTGACGAACGGAGCTTACCGCACCGGATAACGAAAAGAAACTTGCGTTTTGGTGTGTGTTTCAGAGATGGTAAACACACACACACACACACACACACACCCCTCTGTTTTTTGCTTCAGTCAAAAGAGCCGTGGAATCACACTTACCAATATTCTGGCATAGCCAGACCCAGATGGCACGGGCTTTCTCCAGCTGGCTGCTGGCTCCGCCCGCGATTAGCGAGACCACGGTTTGGACGGACCACAGACCCCGTTTGGGTTTGAGCTAACGAAGAGAAGGTGGGTTTCAGAGAATCGGAGCTTGGCAGATGAAACCTCCATTTCCCTCCACTGCTGAAATTAATGTTTATAAAGAGCCTCTAAGTCTGTCTTCTCCAACCAGCTATGTTGGACTAAAAAGAGGCTTTATGTTGGACAGGACCAACCAAGAACCATTCAGGTCAGTGACGGCAAACCTTTCGGGCTCAGCGTGTCAAAAATGTGGAAATCCCTAACTGGACTCTGCTGGCATGTCACACGCCACCCCCCCTCCGAGCAAAAGAGAAACAATTCTTTACATATTCATTTATTTAAAAAAATACAGTCCAATCGTGTGTGGTGCTGTGCATTAGATAAAGAAATGTCAAATAATTACAAAAATGAAATACGAGTAAAACAAACTTGGTTTCTTTGGTAACTCAAACAGGGATAATTGTTGTTGTGAGGTGTTGGTGAACGCTGGCGTGTCACCCAAACCGTCGTGGCGTGTCACCCTTGACACGTGTGTCATAGGTTTGCCATCACTGATATAGGTCTCCGATAAAAAATATGGAGCCTTGTAGCACTTTTTCAGACTAACACATTTTATGAAAAGGCAGAAGTTTGGGGGAATTGTTTTTCAGACCAATGCATTTTATGGAAAGGCAGAAGCTTTTGTGAGTTGCCTTTCCATAAAATGCATTAGTCTGAAAAAGTGCTAGCAGACTCCTTGTGATTTTTGGCTACCGTAGACTAATGCAGCTGTCCTCCTACAACAGATCGAGTCAAAGATACCTTTAAACCAGCAGGACACAGGGAAACGGCAATTTTGCACTGGCTATCTTCCAGCCAATTTGAGTATGAGGGCTAGTTTAGTGGAGTGGTGAAGGCTCCAGGCTAGAAACCAGGAGACGGTGAGTTCTAGTCCTGCCTTGGGCACGAAGCCAGCTGGGGGACCTTGGGCCAGTCCCTCTCTCTGCCCTAGGAAGAAGTCGTCCAGGGCAAACCCCTTCCGAAAATCTTTCCAGGAAAACTGCAGGGACTCGTCCAGGCAGTGGCCAGAAGTCAAGACAGACTCCTAACTCCCAAAAACAAAAATACCCTCTGCTGTTCTACTTTTAAAAGCAGAGTTGTGTCCTTCAGGCAATGATGGATGGGAAGTTTTAACCTGGCATAGAAGGTTGAATCCATTTTTATGCCAACGGAAACCCCAGAGCCTGCAAATCCTAGTTTAAAATATCCCTGGTGAGGCTTTGGGGAAACAATTTGTTTTTCACATATCCGTTTCTCACTTACCTGTCCGCTCACCCGCAGGACGTGGGCGTCAAGCTCTCTGAAGACCGCCAGGTTGGGGAGAAGATCTCTCCGCTGCCTCTTCCAGACGGCTTCCGGATTGGGGGAAGGAGGGCAGCGCCTTTCGGTCACGTCTTCCTCCCCATCTTTGGATCCACCCAGAGAATGTCCCACCTGCTGGTGTCGTGCGATCCCTTCGCTGGAGCCCAGAGCCTTGACGTTCCCCTCTGCTTTCTTTGCCCCCAACGTGTCCATCTTTAAGGATCTGTCGGGGCGTTGGTGGGCCTCTTGGCAGGCCACAGACTTTTGGCCAAACTTTTCAGGTCTTTTTTTCTGCCTCCTCCCTCCAGGAAGCCCTTGGCCAGCATCTCCCAAAGACCAGGAACGACCGGGAGGGCTTTCTTCCCTAGACACAAGGTGGTTGCCGGAAACAGCTCGTTGGCTTTCGGCAGCATCAGGGGAGAGAGGCACCTCTTGGTGCTGTTTCCCCTTTTCAGCAGGATCAGAGCTCCCATTTTTGATGGAGCAGCTGCAGTCAATGTTGCTGTGTGCTGTGGGTGGGCAAACAAAAGGCATTTCTTTGTCTGCGGTGGGGTGGCCCCCTTGAATGTAAGGGCAAACGGGTTCCTTCCTGGCTAGCTAAGAATGGAAGAGACAAAGGGAAAACCAGCTGATTTGCTCGCTTACTTGAGTTATTCAGCTATACGAACACATACACAGACATATATAATTCCAGTGAGAATTGTGGAGGGATCCGGGCTGAGAGCAGATTGTCTCCCCAGCAGAAAATGGGGAGGCTTCCATTGCCTGCTGGTTACGTAGCCCTTGCCCTGATAGGGAGTGAATGCTGTGATGAAACCATCTGCTCTTAATTGCAACTTGGCTCACTCACTTGTGTTATTCAGAACAACTTGTTTTCCATATGGCTTTGGGCTTTACCCCGAACTCTCAAACAGACTAATAAAGTAGCCTGTCAACTAGCTTTCTCCAAGCCAGCCACCTCCAGATGTGCAGGACTGCGAGGTTCATCGTCCCCAGTCAATGTGGCCACCAGGAATTATGGAGGCCCCCAGGCTGGGAAGAGCTGATGAAGCTGAATCTGTTGTGGGCCGAATAGAGTCGGTTCTTAGATTTAGTTTTAGCCATTCGGAAAACAAGTTGTTCTGAATAACACAAGTGAGTGAGCCAAGTTGCAATTAATAGCAGGTGGTTTCATCGTGGCATTCACTCCCTATTGGGGCAAGGGCTACGTGACCAGCAGGCAATGGAAGCCTCCCCGTTTTCAGCTGGGGAGACACTGCTGAGATCACAATCTGCTTGAGTTACCCCAAAAGATTACAAGGCAAAACACTTTGGGGGCATCGTTCCTCCCCAAATGCAACTGTGGCTGTGATCCAAAGGCGGCCGAGAGTAATTCAGAAAGGCAGAATTTCCCTGCAGGCTGATTCTTGAGCCTGGTACCTATTGCTGGCCAAATATTTTTCACATGTTTTAGAAGCACTGCCCACGCGGCAAGCTATTTGAGTCTCAGAATGCCAAACCAGGTCACTGGTGCTCTCCCTTGCGCATCATGCTATGTGTGCTAGCGTTAGATTGTTGGGGGGGGGATTAAAACATTATGGAAATCCAGCCCATTGGGTTAGTATATGCTGGTTTTATCAATCTTGGCAGCTTTCCGATGCGTGGACGAGTCCACACAGCTTCAAGTGCCCAAGGTTGAGAAACCCTGTAGTAGTTGACTCAGAGGTGACTTGGAATGTTAATCCTTGCACCCTCCTCCACACTCATTGTAGCATGACAGCTTTCCCCCCATTTTGTGTTTCTAATTTCCTTGCCAAACAAAATCCCAGCTACAAAAAAAAAAAAAATCCTTTTTTCTTTTCCCCCTTTTGCAGAAGATGAGGGAAAGGCTCCAGTTTGGGGACCGCAAGCCACGTTGTGGTCTAGGATCCTGCAAGTCCCCCTGGAGATTTCCATCTGTGAGCATCGATGCTAAGATGCTGTCTGTGTCTTCCAAGTCAACAGTGCCTGGAAGAATATTCTCAGAGCTTCTGGGGCTCAGAAGATGTAGAACAGTCTGTCTTACCTCTCTGCAAGGGTTCCTTGCAAAGCTGAGATCTCTCCTCCGTGAGAAGCAGGATGCTATCCTAGATGTATCCTGGTCTGACGTTGCAGGACTTTTTTCCTGTTCTCCTGCTTTTCCATCCGAGCTGCGCCGTGCTGTCCTGTGGAGATCAGGCGAGGCAAAGCTTCTTGGAAAGGCCTCTTTATACACCAAGTTTTCCACCCTTCAGGGCCTCGGCTGTTCCGATCTCCCCTTCTCTACTGCCAGCCAACCAACAAGTCTAAAAATATTTCAAAGTGCTGAAGAACCCAGCATGGATTTTCCACCAGGCCAGCACTCCAATGGGGCTGATAGCAGAACGAAAGGCAAGATTAGTTTTGAATATTATCAGAAGCTGACCTTCGGAGGCCAAATGGCTTCTGGGGAACGGTCAATGGGTGCTGCAGAATCCAAAAAAGGAATTAAAGTTAGCCAAGGGAGGGAAGAGTGGTCTGGATGTCATCATTAGCAGATGGGTTGCCCCTAGATTTGATGCATTTGGATGCGGGCCAAAATATTCCTCTTGCCTTCAGGCCTCAGTGAAACTTGGTTTTAGCAACCCTAACGGCATCCCCAAGCATCTTTACTCAAAAGTAAGGTCAGCAAAATTGTCTTCTCTGTCATAGAATCAGACTGGAAGGGATCTCAGAGATCATCTGATCAAACTTGTCTAGCGCGAGAAGGCAATACTGTACTAGCATACTGTTCATTTTTTGACATAAAATGCACTCAGAAATAATGTTTAAAAATGTTTCAACCATCCAACTTTTTAAACAATAAGAGCCCATCCATGAACACCAATGAGCAGTCAGAAGACATGATGAGAACTCCTTAAGCTCACAAGACATGGAGAGACTCAACCATAGTTTCACCTGGGAAACTGTGAGCATCCTAGACCGAGCTATATCCAAAAACACCAGGGAATTCCTGGAAGCTTGGCACTCAGACACATCAGCCATCAATAGTCACATAGAGATAAACCACAGTTGCACACCATTCAAAAGAGAGAATAAAAAAGCTAAGAAGGAAACAAAAAGACCAGAACACGTCCTCTCCAGCAACCAACACCCAGATAAGCAGGGATTAACACCAGACAAACAATCAAGCAGAAAACAATACTCTTATCACGGAATCACCAAGGAGGAAACCACACTCCCACCAACCTTGGCAGGGCAAGTTACTGTAAATAAACAGGGAGCAAACCCCACACTCACTGACGCTGATGATGCTACCTAGTTGGGTCATGAAACGTCTGCAAGCAAACCACCAAGCTCAGAGAGCACCAAGAATTCCACAGTAAAGAATAATTTTAAAATCACATCTCCTGTGTCCATCCAGAGGGGAAAAATTAGAACCCATTAAAAAGGTTGATTTTAATTTTTTATTTAAAAATTTTTTTTTTAAAGAGACATCGTTTGCAAGCAATCCCTGACCAGCTTAGCACATAAATCCAGGCAGGTTGTGCTTTTCACACACACACACACACACACACACACACACAAACTTGCAAACTTCTCTGCATCTTCCCGGAGGCAACATTTGTCTTCTGCCAGTTTTCCAACTTTATTTGGAGACCCACCAACTGGTTGCAAAGCAAAGCAGAGACTTGGGGAAGAGGAAAAAGATCCAGTTGGAGACTATGAATAGCGGAATGACAGATATGAAAAGGTCTTTAGAGATCATCTAGCCCAGCCTCCTGCCCAGTGCACGAATCTACAACTATGAAACCCACATTTAGGAGCTTCCTCTCTCTGCTAAGAATTAATTCCTCAGTGATCTTATAGGGGCAATTGTTTTCTCTGTGAGACTATATAGAAGAAAAGTTAGATGTTGAAGAAGCAATATAGAAAAAGTATTGGCACTTCTGAACTTCAGTGTTGGAGAAGACTCCAGAGAAGACCATGGAGAGCCAAGAAAACAAACTGATGGATCATCAAACAAATTCACCCTGAGTTCTCACTCGAGACACAGATGAGCAGGTTCAGATTATCCTCCTTTGGACACCTTATGTGAAGACCCAGCTCTCTGGAGAAGGCTCCGATGCTAGGAAAGGTGGAAGGAAAGAGAAGAAGAGGAGGACCAGCAGCCAGGAGGATGGACTCAGTTACAGTGGTGATGGAGGCACCCTTGGAAGACCTGAAGGACCAGGTTGGAAACAGACCACCCTGGAGAAGGTCTATCTATGTGCTTGCTAAAAGTCTATACTGACTTGATGGTATACAGTATAGCCCAGTGTTTCTCAACCGTGGGAACTTTAAGATGTGTGGAATTCCCCATGGCTGGCTGGAGAATTCTGGGAGTTGAAGTCCACACATCTTAAAGTTCCCACGGCTGAGAAACACTGGTATAACCAATCAATCAATGACCTCAAGATGTGCTTGGTCACCACTGCCTTGGACAGAAGTCAGCCAAAGTAGGATAGGGATCAGCGATGTGGGTGGCCCATTTCCTGCCAGTCTGGTTTTCTGCAAGGAGAGGCAGAAACGCTGAACCTCAGTAGGGGGAAGAAGCTGAGGGGAGAAACGCAATCTAAGAGTGACTGGGTCTGCAAGCCGGGGGAAGCACCGAGGTGGGATTACGCTTTGAAAAGGAGCTCCAAGTAAACCAAGACCCTGAAGAAAAACTCTGCTTGGAAAGAGAGGGCAGAATTTGGCTCGGTGGCAGCAGCTGGCCTGGGGATTCTTCCTCCCGGGCATGGAAAGCAACTGGGCATGGAAACTTGGAGGGAATAAATGATAAGAGGGAAACAGAATTAAGCACCCTGCTTGGCTGCATGTATTTTGCTCCGAGCATGCTTTTCTGCTTCAAAAGAAAACAACCGTTTGAGTACTTTCTGCATATCTCTGACAGGCGAGAACCTGGAGGCAGAATCAGAGGGAGGCCTCCTTTGACACATCAATTAATCTTTCTTTGAACCATTTTGTGTAAGTATACAAAGCTACAACATTGTCTCGCCAAGAAGGAAGAGAGGAAAAAGTGAGCATGTGCGCTACATCGCAAGCATTGGGTTGCATCCCTGGTCACGCCAGGCCATTGTTCTAACGGTGGTTTGCCAAATAAAGCACAATGACTGGGCTCCCCAGAATGCTAAGCTGTGGTTTATAAACATGATGATAGGTTCACACAAGATTTTCTACCCAGCCACTGAATTAACCCATTTTTCTGGATTTGCACAGGGCATTCCACCACAAACTAACAAAATCACTGCGTTCACACAATGTAATGAGCTGCACAGAGAGCCATCCCTTGCGAGAAGGACCTCGATGTCCTGCTAGGCCAAAGATTAGGCACGAGTCAGCTGTCCTGCAGCTGCCAAAAGAGCCCGTGCAGCCTTGAGCCGCATCCAGAGAGGCCCGGGAGTTCGTGGGAAGGGATGGCTCTGCCCTCCTCTGCCTGGTCAGGCCACCCCTGGAGCGCGGTGTCCAGTCTGGGTCTCCAGGACGCAGGAAGGAGGCCGAGGAACCGGAAGGAGCGCCGGGGAGAGCGATAAAGATGGAGATGGGCTTGGGGACTAAATCCTGTGAAGACTGATGAAAGGATCTGGGCAAGTTTGACCTAAAGAAGAGAAGGCTAAGGGTAGGCAGGACGGCAGCCTTCCAATACGTGAAGGGATGTCACAGGGAAGTGGGTGCAGATACGTTCTCCTTAGGATCCAAGGGTAGGACAAGCAGGAATGGGGGCAGCTTTGCAGAGGGAGACCCCAGCTGAAAATAAGGAGGAGTGTCCTGAGTGCGAGGGCCAGGAAGCAGAGGAACAGCCTGACTCTGGATGGGGCTCCATTGCTGGAGGGTTTCAGGCAAAGGTTGGACAACCATTGTCTGGGATGGTCTGAGGATCCCTGCCCTGGCCAGAGGTTTGGACTGGAAGACCAAAATCCCTTCCAACCCCCGGATTCGGATTCTCTGATTCTACGTGCTTTACCCCATGCATCGTTTTATATATATATATATGGCTCCCATTAACAAAAAAACAGAAAAAAAACCCTCAGACTTGATTAACACCAACTTAGTATGTGTACGTTTTCATCTGCTAGGTCTTTACCGAACCTGGTTTGGGGCTGTTCTGTGAACCAGGCCATTATGGGACCTAAGAAGTTTGTCTGCCCACCTCCTGGTGATGGGATCAACAACCACTTTGTTAATCCCAGTTTAGTGAGTTCCCCAGACCCAGCCCTTCAGCTGTGTGAGTGCAACCTTACAGTCACTGGCTTGCACAGTAAACTGAATCATGGTTTACTGGACTGAACAGCTCACTAAGCCATAAACTAACCCCCACCCTCACCCCTAAGGTTCATTGACACAGCACCTTGACCCATATATGAAAGAAATGCTTCATTGGCCAACAGGATTCTTCCTAGTGTGTATGTGTGTGTGTGTCAAAAGGTCAAGATGGGCAGGGCTTCCATTGCACCAGCACCATCTTGACTTTTTTGACCAATGCTCATAAAAAAAGGCCAGGGCTTCCCTTGCAGTGTTGTGGGTAGTTGCTATTCCCTAGTGTGTTGTGTTCAAAATCCGTAGGCCACTTTTTAGCACCAACGTTTGCGAGCCTGTTGATGCCTCTGTCTGTCCCTTATTGGAAGCAAGATGGGCTGTTCCTTGGGAGTTCTCCAGCGGAGTTCACCCTGTAGGACCCTAGGAGAAAATGGGTTCCGTCAAGTTCTGGGTTAAGCAGAAAACAGCAGCCTTCTGTGTTCCATAAGCCAGGTTGTCCTTGGTCTTACCAACACCCAATCTAGCAATCAATGAAGGATCTTCTGATTTTGCCTACAGCTCAGGAGACTGAGCTGACACCAATCAGCTAATGAACAAGCCAAGCCAGGCCTTATGATGCATCTAGCCTGGCCAGATTAACAAAAACAGGTTTTTCCTCTCATTAAATAAGAGAAATGTATTTGGGTAGCTGGTCAAGGATGTCCCAGCCAGGTCAGAGTGGCCTTAACTTCCATCTTTTCATCCTTCTCCACATTCCTGCCCGTGGTTCCCAGCTCTGCCTTGTTCAGCAGCCAAGCAAAATGAACCTCTTTGAGTTACCAAGATAAGCAATAATAGATATTACCTAGCTATGTTTCCCACAATCTCCAGATAGCTTTAATATGGAAACGGGGTGTTTCTCTCTCCTCCCCCCACCCCCTGCAGGCTAGAAAAAATTTTCAAAAGCCAAAGGAGCAGTGGTCACCACTGAACAATTTATTCATTTGTCCCCCCAAAATCCTTCTCTCGGCTGTTTTCACATCCAATTTTGCAGGCAAGAGTAAGTGTTA